CCCCGCACGCGCAGGGCGGCGGCCGCGCTCCGTCCTTCCCCGCCCCGCTGCTTCTCGGAGAGCAGCCGACCCACCTCAGCGCTCGCTGCGGTTGGGTTGGCTGGGGGGGTCTTCAAGTCTCCGGGTCATGTCCCCAAGAGGCTCCTTTACTTCTTAGTCAAGTGTAGGGTCCCTGGTTTAGAGAACTTGCTGCTTTAGTGTTGAGTTTTAATTTGCATTGCCCTGGCATGAGCTGCTGCTTTGTGAGTAGGGCTGTGGTGGTGGTGGTGTCTACGTGCAAAGTTAAGTGCAAAGTCTGCTGGTGCTATACATTGCTTCTATGGTTCCCTCAGGGCTTCTCCGTAATTTCTTTTTCTTCTTCTCTTATTTTCCCAATGAAAAAAAGGAAAAGCTTTCATGATACTTTTTTTTTTCTTTTTTTTTAACATTTGTATCCTAAATATTTATTTGGACTTTTATAAATAAACATTTTATAAGTGTCTTTTTAAAATAAAGTTAATGGACTGGTGCTCAGTAGATCCGATCCCTGGTCTGGCTTAGTGTGTGTGTGAGCTCTGATGGGAGAAATGGTGCTCACCTGGCAAAGCTCCAGGAGACACTTGAGAAGCATCGGGGAGCAGCAGCACAAGGCAGGGAGCACCCAGAGCTGTCCAAGTCGGCTCCCACCCTTCTCCCTTTTACGGGGGCTCTCCTGCTACCACCACTCGCAGTCTGCAAGCTGTTGTGTGAAGACAGGTGAAGAAATCAAGCCTGATGTCCCAGCTGGCAGTCAGGCTTGGCCTTTTTTGTGTCCAGGTCTTAGCCTGTAGCCTACCAAAACGCCCATTGGGCGTTTCTCCCTTCCCGGCGAGGGGGAAGGGCCTGCCGCCTGCTGCACCGCGGCCTGTGGCAGAAGGCGGCATGTCCCCGACGCCACGCGCCCCTGCGCCAGGGCTGCTGCTCCGTGCAGCACGAAGGCTGATCCCCCCCCGCGTCCCGCTCAGCTCTGCGAGCCACGTGGAGCGGAACAGCGTGCCAACATGAGGAGCCCTCCCTCGCTGCCTCGGCAGAACCATCACTCGTGCTTGCGCTGGAGCGCGGCTTGGAAATGGCAAGGTACACCTGGAGGACCGGGAACTCCTGTGGAAGGAATAGGAGAGGAGGAGCGCTTTCCGCTCCACTGCGGACACGAGCAAAACCCCCGGAGGCCAAACGCGGCCAGTCAAGGGGAGGGCAGGAGATGGGCCTCGCATGCACGTGCGCCTCACTGCGCTTAACCGCACGGCCGCGACCTGCCCAAGCATGAGGACAGCAGCAGCGCAGGGACAGGCCGCAGGCCTGAGCAGGAACAGCACCATCCAAGATGGCAGCACTGTTGGAGAGCCCTGTGTGTGCTGCGGCCCCGCGCCCTTCCCTCGGGCCCAGCAACAGCACGGAGCCTGCTGAGGGAGTCTGAACAAGCCAGGAGCATCCACTGCTCAGTGACAAGGGGAACTGGAAGGGAAGGGCAGGATAAAGCTTTGGGGACCATGGATGGGGAAGCCTCACCGTGCTACAGCTGTTAAAACCTAGCAGTAGCATAATTTAGGAGAAAGCAACAGTGATGTGGGGCAAGTGCTGAACAGCTGCGTGAGGTGGCTGCAGGTCGATCTCACAGGACGGGCACTGCCCATGGAGGCTGCAGGCTGGGGCGCACGTGGAAAATAATTCCCTGTCCTTAGAGCAGAGGGAGGAGGCAGCCACATGAGAGGTGGAAGAGCAGGACTTGGCCAGGTTTGCTTACGGAAGAAGCGGGCGGACAGATGAGCAGGGAGGCTATGGCGGTGCTACCAGAGGGAAACTATGGCTCTATGTCCCTCCTGAGGGCAGGGGTGAGCGCCAGGCTGCGCTGCCTCCACAGGGCGCTCCAGCAGCAGTGCCAGCCTCGAGCTCCTGCACCGCTCGTTATCCGATGTGCTGCCTGCAAGCACAGCAGCATCAGATAGAGCACGAGCAGCGGCCGGAGAGGGAACCGGATCCGATAGAAGGAACTGGGAGCAGAGGAACGCGAGGCCGCGGGAGCAGGGGGAGGCGGCAGGGCGCTCTTCAGGGCCATCCCGGGAGATCAGCTGGCCTCGGAGAGGGGCCGCGAGCGCGGTAACCTCGCCACGCTGCGTATCTAAAGGTCAGGCCTGCAAGGGCTCCAGATAAGAGGATCAACACGACACAGCAGAGCACAGGCACAAGCTAAAGATTACACTAGCCTTCTGTGAAAGGAATAACTTTATTCCATTGACCAGGAATCCCAAGACTGTTCATCAAGACTGCCTATTTTTCCAGTGCCAAATGTCTGTGTATTAACTGGACAGTATCTTCCCAGAGGCTCACAGGCAGGCTGTGGCTGCTCTTCACCGAACATTTTGTAAGCTGTATAAAAACATTTTCATCCAAAAAGATTGGCAGTAAAAATTACAACATAGAAATGCATCACAATTTACACAAAAACTAGTTTTGTTGAACTCTATTTTCCAAAAAATAATCTTCAGCAGGTTCAAATGACAGCAGCTGGAAACCAAAAATAATTGACCAAGTATCATCTTATTGCAAATTATAACCACTGACTTTGTACAAGCATGAGCAGAACTATGAAAAAGTTTGTATTGGTTTCAAGTATACAGTGGTGATGAGCCATCCCGATGCAGCTCTCCCATCAACGCTTCTTTGGACCTGCAGGAATTGAGGATGTTGTTTCCATAGGAAATAACAGGAACCTGAAGTGACAATTGGTGCCAACCCATAAGAACATGACTCACTCCTTCCATCACCATCCCCGCTGCATACCCACTACTCATGATGATTTATGATCCATTACAAAGTATTTGGTGGTAGTTGGTGGGGAGGGGAAAAGGTAGAGGGAGTATTCTTAAGAAATGATTTATTCGTAATTAATTTAAAACATCACATTTAAAATGTCCCAGCACATTATCAGAAACATTTATAAAATGCTAATTCTGCCATGTGTTCATGAAGACATTGTTTGGAGAAAAAACAAGTGAGATTCACTCCAGTGCCACCCTTACTTTGCAGGCGCAATTGGTGACAACAGTTCTCTTAACCCACAATAAGTTATAAAGCCGTACAGCTGAAGGCAGATGTTTACTCCCGACAGTGAAATGACTGCTAAATTTCAATATTGGTGCACAACAGTGAAAAGCTGGCTGCCACTTCTTGTTTCGGCAACAGTGTGTAAAAAGAAGAAGAAGGAAAAAAAAAAAGGCACTTTTCGGCTGTCTGTGCCTTTAACTTGGCAAATTTATCTATTCTGGAGGTACCCAGGCACTCCTAGAGATCTCCCCCATTTCTGTGCATGTCTATTTATATAATTTTTAAAGTAAGGCAGAATCCATAAATAAAGGCAAAAGCAGTGCAGAAAATGTGACAAACGCAAAATGTACAAAATATGACGAGTTAGTTGGCACAAAAGAAGCTAGCATCCAAACCCAGAAATGCATTTGACACAGAAAACAAAATTGCTCAAATCGTCCCAACTGGTTTCCAGTTGTGAGCAAATAGGAGCTGTGGTATTTTAAATGTTGCCTGGTCAAGTGAAAATACAAAGCCAAATCTTTCTTTCCCCATGTTAAAACTGCTAAAATCTGCACAACAGTGTCCTCAACTCACTCAAGGAATTATTCATCATATACAACCAATACCAACTTTCTCAGTAATTTCAAAGCATTAAGCAAGTGATTGCAGATCACATGATTGAGACTACATCTTATTTAATATGTCTCCAAAGATTAAAAAAATTTAATGAGTAAAACTGCAACAGAATTCCATGTTAAAGTGCTTTTTTTCTTTTAAACTACTCATTAATTTTTTTTTGAAATCCACCAACATCCTTTCATAAACACCCGCATACCTAGAAAGCAAAACGTTTCTTTTATTGCTCTTCCCAATTTTTGGTGGTTTTCAGAAGGTTACCAGAAAAGACAACCTATTCCAGAATTCCTTCACCAAACCATTCCGTAAGGAGTCACTGTCCTTAGAGCAAGTTTACCAAACCTTCTCATAAAGAGCTTTACAAATTAGCAGGGAGACATATTAAATACAGAAGTCTTTATGTAAACTGATTCTTTAACTAATATTTTACAATGAAATGTAAGTCATCACACATCTTTACAGAAATTTGAATATTCCTATTCAGTATTATCAGAAAGATTAAAAATTGCCCTCCATACATAAGGGCAATGTTTTTTTTTTCTGTATAAAAACCAAAAGAATTTTTTTTGCAGCATCACAGAAAAGCAACAGTTTTACATTCACTCATTTAATGTTCACATAAAAATTCAACCACTAGCGTTTGTGTACTTGATAAAATCTTCTTGACAAACTTTTCGGTGTCTGGACTGTCACAAGCATACTGCAGGTGAAGATGCAGTTTTCTATATCATTTATTCATCTGAAGCCTTCATGGCAGAAGAATGCTGTTAGTTTTCAGGGAAAATTTTTCCTCCAGCAATTTTAATAAAGCCATTTCTCTTCCAGACTCTTCTAATGGCATAAGCAATGGGACTCCAGTTGCAAAAAGTACCAGGCATTAAATATTAGAGTTGATCTGCTCTTGTGTTCTTAGGTATCCTTTATGGGTCAACATCATCAAGGTCACTTTTAGGCTCACCAATCATCATGGGAGACTCTGAACCCTTTCAATACACACAAGGGGTGGGGGGAAAAATAAAAAAAAGATTTTGCACGTTATTTACTTACACAACACACAACTATTATGCACATTCAGTGATAATTCTGACCCTGAGACCCAGGGGCACGTTGTCCAGAGAATCAGATAGTAGAAAACAAACTTTTTAATTTTATTGTTACCTGCTGCAGATGTCTCTCCCCATTCTCGTTGGCTGGACTACTTTCTGACCCATTACTGCTTCCAGACTGATCTTTCTCATTCAGCAGGGCTGTGGCATAGGCCAGTGTGTCCTGTGTTGGAAATACATTGTTCAAGAGACACTGTCAGGAGCCATAGTGATACCTTTATTTAATAACTATTTTTTAAAGTTGATTCTAATACCATATAACTATTGGACTGAGACAGCTTAGTGACCACAGGTAGTTGTTAGGTACTAAAATTTAAGGGTTAGTTAAGGCTTGGAAGGGGAAAATGGCCTTAAGCACACAGGAACATGGCAAGAAAATAAAACAAGTTTGACACTCGTAGGACTGTGTCACATACCTGTGCTGAAATAGTGCGCTGGAAGGTTTTTGCAGTTGATGTTTCGTTGGATACGTTACTCTGTGGAGCCCAATAATGTTCAGACATCTATATAAAAAGCCAAGATCAAATTTCAGCAGTTTTGCTTTTACTTTTGTAAAGTCTAACCTGCTTGTCCCAGCAGGTGAACAAACAAGCCTGGAACAAGGTTCCTCAATACTCTGGCAAAGAGATGGAGACCTGGAGCACTGCCAGATGTGCACTTCTAATGCAACTGGGATCAGTTTCAAGGACTATTGCCCCTCAACAGCAACCCTGTAACCAATTTTGGATATGTGGTAACTGTACATGCATGCAAGTTACTGGATGCCAGCTGCAGAGTGGCAATTTAGCTATTCCACTGGGGTTTACATGAGCCTATTTTCACTGGCTCAGTAGGACCACCCAGAGCCCATCAGTTCACTGTGCTTCACCCACAAAGTGGTAACAGGTTGTGTTGTATTGCAAGCATACCACTAATTCTGCTTACACTATTCAGCAAAATATTATTTCATGCATCTAACATCGTATTATTGTCTGGGGTAGAAGCTGTCAGGATAAACAGGCAGATTTAGCCACATTCAAAAGGTCCTTGTAAGAAATCAAGTAACTTGCATTTTGTTTTAAAAGGCACCTCAAAGACCTATATAGAGAATGCAAATTATGTAAGCCTTCTCGCAAAAATAAATAAATAAATGTATCAGTTTCTCCATAATTTTACAGCCACACTACCTTTTTCTGTAGCCACTGCACAGCCCAACTCCAGTGATGGGAATTCTCCTTGAAATAATCTTTTGCAGTAGGGCACCTTGGAAATTGAAATTATATTCATTATTCAGCAACAAGGTATTCTGGCAAACTTTCTCTGGGCTGCTGCCTTCTCTATGTATGAACATCGTTGATAACTCTGACGTAAACTGTACAGCCCTGTTATTACTTAATTAGCAAGAGCGATAATGTCCAGCAAAATTTACAGTGTAGTTTAGTACACAGATTCATATATTTCAGAATTATACCTCATCAGATCTTATGAAAGCTCTAAACAAAGAATTTAGGAATCATACCATTTCAAAAATCTGGGACAGTTTTCTTGCATATATTTTGATCGTAATGGTAGAATGGTGCTTTATACATGTGGCTGACCTTGCCTTTATAAACAACTATTGTCAGCTGAGATGGAAGAAATCCACCTTCAGAAAAGATTTCACTTCATATTGTAGCTTTAACGCCAAGACCTTTGAGCACCACTTGAAGTCCAATAACACAACCTAGAGCTGTAGTCAGAGCAGCAACCTAAATGGTCACAGAGATCCAAGGTAGAGGTCAGGTTGAACTCTGCAGTACGTATTATGACTTACTTCTGAGCCAAAGTTACAAGGAACTTGACACACTGATAACAACGACTGCTGTCCACATGGTTGCTGTGGTGCATCAGGGCTGTGGGGAGAAACATAAGGATTAAAAACATAAAACAACAACAACAAAAAACCACAGTTTAGATTTGCATGTACCACTCTGGAAATACAACAAAGATGAAGCTAAAATCTTAACGTAGGTAGTGGAAGTTATTTCTGTAGCTGTTAGTATTTTTGTTGTATATTGCTGCTGTATGCCTGGCAAATTCAAGTATTCCCAAGACTCTATTGGATTAATAATAGATCAAAGTGAAAATGCAGTAATTTTCATATGCAGTACCTGAATTTTAAATAGCCCTTTTCTACATTTCTCCTAATCGAGTTATTCTTCCTCTATAATCCATTCTAGGTTAGATAATTGCTATGGTTACATCTATCTGGAAAAAAATTCACTGTTCTAAGCTAGAACTTGCAAAATTCACCAGACAGAAACCTCTTCTAGGGCAGATCCGGAGATCTGGACAAGACAACCCATTCCTGGCCAGCATATTTTTTTTCAACAATGGAATTCCCATGTTCTGCAAGAGAATCTTTTTGCTGAAGAGAACTACAGAAACCACCATTACACTGTCCCCATGACATTTAACACCCAAATCTGCTCTGTCCTTGGGTGGCTATCAGTGAAGAACACTGTAGAGATGCCTCTAAAGCAGGCAAACAACTGCTGAAGAACAGCAAATTGCCAGCTTTTCTACCCTCAAAGCACGGCAGATGAAAGTTACAGTACTGACACGCTGCAAATTATGCATACACATCTCGAGCACCACAGAAAACTTATTTTCTAGCTTCCTTTCTTGAAGTAAGAGGAGCCACTGTGACTGATAAGCCATGGTCTACAGGCAATGAGACTGGAGGCTGTTCAAGGCTGTTGCTAGGAAACTCCAAGGTAAAGCTACAATTTTCACTTCCCAACCCCATAGCATTTCTTGTAAAATATGTATGGTTTAACAGCATAACACAATGAATTTTAAACATAAAAATCTGATTGAATAATTGCACCTCTCCTCTGTAGGAAAATAAAGGTCATGTATTGCCTGAATTACAGAAGAGAATTGGTTCAAGTGGGACCAACTTATATAGAAGTAAAATAACCACTTGGCTGGTTTTTTTTCCATATCGAGCATATTTTCTTCTTTTTTATCAGTCACAGATGGAAACTAGCAAACAGAAGAGCAGCGGTGCAGAAACGGGAAATAAAGAATGAACTAAATATTCCTTCTCACTAGAAGGAAATCCCCCAAACTGAGAGCTACTATCTGAAGCATCTTCACAACTAAACAAACAGCTTAAGAGAGATGCCCAAGTTGCACCGTTTGATTAGAGGTGCTCTCTGAGCTCCATGTAGCTCCTCTGCATTTCTCTTACAGGCAGTGCCTCTTCTCCTGACTCACATGAAATAGACTCTCGTTACTTCTGGGACTTATTTTCTCTTACTGTTGAATGCTTTAGTAATTTCACTTCATCAGGGTATCTGGATCCAACAAGGTGACAAAAATTTGTACAACAAGTGACAAATGGGAGCCACCTGCCAGATTATGATAGTTATCCTATAGCTAATACAATAGTCATGCTTCTGTGTTGAATCAGCTACTTTTACAGTAATTAGAATACTGAAAAAGGAAAGGATAGGCAATTTCTTGAGATAGGTGGAAAGCAACATTAATTTTCAAGGTTATAGGATTCAGAGAGCTACTCTCCTGTGGTACAGGAGACTTCTTGTTGTAATGGTAAAACATGTCCACGACCAACCTTGAAGTAAATAGGAAATAGGAACTAAAAGGCTATAAAAAAAAAAAAGACACCAGAGACAAAAACCATTACCACAGCCATTTGTGAAAACAAAGCAGAATTTCACAGGGAAGTAAATAGGAAATAGGAACTAAAAGACTATATAAAAAAAGACACCAGAGACAAAAACCACTACCACAGCCACTTGTGAAAATAAAGCAGAATTTCACAGCCAAGGCGATGAACAATAGCTCTAAGAAGATGGATAAGGATGATGCAACCTGCTTGTGATGCTTTATGGAAGGCTGTGATGCTACTTAAAGGCTGAAATCCCTGTGCTGTCTGAATTTACAAAAATTCAGCTTAGACTTGGTTATCTTCTTACCAGTCCTAGGATATAATTTTAGTGGCAAAGGAGGCTACCATTTCAAGCAAAGTAAGACATAAGAGACAGTAAGTGGAAAATAATGACTACACAAATACAAACATGGAGAAAAAGAGGAAGCAGCTACATTAGGGCTCTTCAGAAATATACCCAGAAAAATAAAACAGGAGACTCCAACTAAAACCAGTTGCAGCAAAAATGTATTTCCTTCCTATAAATTCAAAGAACTTTCTTCTTCACAGCTTCTCTCCATTATACATCTAGTTATGTCTGCTTTGATTTTGAAAGTTTACTGACCATCCAATCTGTTCCTTGTCATTTTGAAGCATGGAGCTGCAAGCTGGGAAAAAGTCACCAACAGGCAGGATGGCAGGAGGAAGGCATGAACATTTCAAGAGACAGAGCACTTCCAGTACAACACTTCTAACTCATGGGACCCACTTGTTGTGACTTTTCTTCACAGCTTTTATCTCCCCATAAAAGTCAGAGACACATGGGCTAGATCATATACTTCTTGTTTAGAAGAATTGCTAATGAGATAGACCTGAGCAAGGTATTTCCAACTACTTTTCTTTCCTTATATACACGCCCTGATCTGGCCCTGATTTCAACTTGTTAGCTCTCTCATCAGAACCATTAAGGTTCTTTAATGTCATTTATTGAAGTAGGTAATGACCACTCTTCCCTAGGTTCACCAAGTGCTTTTGTTGGAATTTTTTTTCCCCCCAACAATTTTCCTTTCCACTTCCCATTACTATAATATTTTACTGCTTGCTGTAGTTTTTGCTGATTTTTTTGGAGAAGATGGGGGTGCTAATAGCATTACGTTGATTTTCCTGAGAAGTAGAACAGTCTAGGAAGATTAGAAAGTAGCAGAACCAGCATCAAAATAAAGGTCAGTAGGAGAAAGCAGTCTATTCACACACTGGCCTACTTGCCTATTAATCCATTTTCAGTCTCAAAGGCAAATTTGATGCGCTCTACTTGTAAAGGGTCTTCAATAACCTGTTAAGAAAGAAAAGAAAGGGTCAATAGAAGTTGTGTGTGATACCTGTATCTGAGCTATGTTTTAACCACCTCAACATGAGTTTTAACAACCTTGACATGAAAAACACACAAGATTTGTGAAGTTTCATGTATGATTACATTGTCAAGCAGCAATTTATTAGACAATAAAAGTAGTATGAAGTATCAATGATACGTGGATATTAAAATTATCACTCCGACACAAAATTCATGCTGTGCTTAATATACAAGCCTTTCCTCTTCACTTACCAATATCTCATGGAGCAACTGGAATATATTTTTCAGTTCATGAGGTGGTGCAGTTTCCAGCTGAGTCTGCATGCAAGAAATACAATGTTCTTTAGCCAGCAGAATAGGCTGATGGTACTACAATATTATCAAATGACTTAGCAGCTTTTGAAACTATTTATTTTAAACTCTAAAATCTAAATAAAATGTAATGAATATACTGATTGATCTTCTGAAAATCCCAGAACCGTTATAACCCATAGGGTACAGTAAGACACACCAATCTCTAGAAGCAACACTCATACTAGAAGTCTAGCTTGGTTCTCTCCATACCTTGATGAAGTGCAGCACAGTGAAGGAAAAGTGCTCATTACAAAAGCAGCAGTACACCACCATCTCAATGAGAACCGACAGGGATCCAGTCAGCTCTCGTAACGCATACATCACCTAATGGAAAGATGGAAACAATCTCAGACATAGTCATTATTTTTAAAGAGACAAGTTCTTAATAGAATGTTAATCTTTTCCATGAGGGATGCAGTTTTTGCTCCCAGAATGAGAATGGCCCCATGGGTTGAGCCCCTACTCTTACAACACTCTGTTTGACTTCTGCTGCCCACTTCTAAGGGCCTGGTCAAGCATTATCCATTAAGTCAGGGCAGTTCAAGCTGGCACCTCGGGCTGACATAAAAAACAAACTGCACGGGCAGATTGAGCTCAGCTGTCTTTGCTGTCAACTTCTGTAACTCTCTAACCAGACCTCCAAGCCAAGAGATAGACTGGCAGGAGAAGGGGTCAAGAAGAAATTGAAGGTGACTTCTTGTTCTGGCTCAAAATAACCACCACATACTTCCCAGCTCACTGCTTTTTAATATGTCATGTGTTTTAATGCAAAGGTTTTATAAAGGACTATACAAGACAAGCTTTGATGTTCAAGTAGGGCAGAATTGAGAGCAGATACCTCCATTAAGTATGGCTTTCCCTCAGACAGGAATAACAAGGCTTCTACTTCTTCATGGAGAGTCAAAAGTGGACCTGAAGCAGTGATGCTTAGAGGTGGACGCTGCTTAAAGAGACCAGGAGCTATAATAGCAAATACAAAAACAATCCACTAATAAATCAGATTGTTCTACGCACCTTGAAAATACTGTCACTCACTTTGGTACCACGTTATTTCTAATACTCATCTCAACCAGCTTGTAGTTCATGAAATACTCCCAAGTAAATACTACTTCCATGCAAAGAGCCATTTACATTAGTGACAATATATGGGAATGAAGTTTCAGAAGGCCAAAGCCAAAACATTTATATTTACTATTAGTACGTCTAGCTTTAGAATCACCCAATCCTGCTTGCCCATCCTATTCATAATGGTCATCATCCCATCCTTCTGTTACACTATAATTTTTCACTGCCTCCAATTCCAGAAATTTCTAGCCCTGGACAGAATTCAAGTTGTTATCATTATTTTTTAATATGACAACTTAAAATTCCTCCTTCAAGGCAAGAAACATCTCAACTCATTTCTTCTTAATCTTTTTTTTGGATATCACTGTCTTTTTAAAGAAATACCTAGTAGAGTGTTACACAGCTTGTTGTTCAGTAGCTTAATCTAAATACTCCCTTTAGGATTAGAAACAGAAATAGCAAATGTAAGTGATGTTAGTCTGGTAGGCTGCAAGTCATCAGTGGCACAACTCAATTCATTTTTGGTATGGAAAGCTCTTTGGGGGATATATAAAAAAAAAGACACGATAATGTTAACTTAGAGTGCCTGCAATACTATCTCCTCAATGCAGGCTCTCTTTTGATAGATTTTGAGAAAAAAAAATATCCAAGTGTATGCTATTCGGTACTGCCTTGAAAATCAAGGTCAGTAATGCCTTAAAATCAAAGTAATTGTATTTTTCCCCATTGATTCTAAGTTATTCCCCTCCAAAGTGTCAACAGAAGGAGAAAGAGGCAAGTCTTACCAACATTTCTTTGTGAGGAGACATCAGAGTGCAAAACAAGCAGTGACACAGTATTGTGAAGATATCCAAACTCACGTGCTTGTGCCGAACTCCATCTTCGGTTCTATGTGGGCCAAGGGAGAGATTTAGTTAGCTTTTGATTACTTTGTTTTGCTGACTTAAGAAAAACTGAGGCTGTCTTTAACAGATCACTACCACATTCTAATACTTTTAAATCAGTGAAAGTTTATCACCACAAACATGAGGCTCATTTATGTGGACATAGCTGCTTTCGTGTTAACTGCTATGAACACGCAGCTGGAGCTCAAGATTTGCACGGATACTATAGAACTATCAAGGAAATAGTCTGGTCTATCCCATTAAAGTATCTGTCCATAATTTAAGCACATTAGAAAACAAAAATACCCCTGCAAGCGGATAAACACACACAACACACAATGCATAAGCTTTACCTGATTATTCTGCCGGTTGGGGCCAAGGAGAAAGTTGATCATATGTCTCAAAGCAGAGTGTCTGAGAAGAAGACTGCTAGCCCTTATGCCCTGCTGCTTAGACAACAACACAAAGTTATGTCTGCAAATCAAGAATTAGTGTTCTAGGGGATGAAAGTAACATGCATAGGCTAAACATTGCGCTTCCCACAAAAAGATCTGACAATGTCAATAAATTATGCCATTTATAATGTTCCTTTTAATGAGAGCCCTTAACTAGATCAGAATCAGTGCATGGAAAATAAATGTCATATTGGGAGAGGGGATGAGGGAGAAGAGAGAGAAACCTTACTGGCGTATACAGTGTGGACCAGACAATTTATCTACTCTGCATAAGAAAAAAAAAATCCTAAATCCTTACTCTTAATAAAGGAGAGAGAAAAAAAAAAGAATATTTAGACTTTGGAAATAACACCTGCAATATCTATATTTGGCTTGCATATTTCTGTGCAATTTTTAATTTGATCCTAATCCTGTAGTCAAAGCTATTTATTTTTCAGAAAGGAGAGAGAATATTCTTCTTAGAGCTCTGGAAGTCTCACTATGTTGCTTAAACCTACTAGGAATATGCTTAACTAGCTGTTTTACTCTGGTCTTTAAAACATACAAAAACAAGGACAAACAAGGGTTGTTTACCTTCTGTACAAAGTTGTTGAATAGCAAAAAGTACTGAGCACAGTTTTTACAGTTTTCAGGAACATCTTTATCTAGTAGAGCAAGTAGCACCTCCAGTAACTGATGCAGACTTTTTAACTGTAAAGATAATTATTAATTTGAAAAGTTGTCTACTGCTTAAAAAAAAACAAGACAAAATTTCTGCATAGCAAAGTTTAAGATACAATTAGCAAAACTGCACTCTTTAGACATGTAAACTGATGTTCAAATGTTACAGATGTTTTAGTTATACAAAATAACCCAGCTTAGAACAACGTTCAAGGTCTTGGTTGGCACAGTACGACTCTCAATCCTGCAAAAGGCCATCAGCATTGGTAAAATGTTTCTTCTTTTTTTACATCTCGGTTAATGGATAGCAACTAACAGCCTAGAGGAAGTAACCAAAAACTCTCAAGTCATACTGTAAATTTCCATCTGCCTACTACTGTAGTCAGCTTTGACACTGGACTACTTAGCAGTCTTTCCTTAAAGCACCAAATAAGACAGCCTTCTTCACAGTTGCCTATACAAAGTAGCATTCTTCATTCACTAGTATTATTACTATATATATATATATATGTAAGAAAAGGTTTATCCAAACAAATTTTAAAGTGTGATGTAAAAAAAATACTTTAGATTAAACAAGACTTGAACACTTAAAAGCAGTCTAAACATGACAAGTTACAGGAATACATTAGAGCAAAAGGTAATGGTTCTATTGTTGTTTTCTTAATATAAATGATACAGGTTCAAGCATCCCAAATGAAAAAGGTGAAACTCTAAACATTTCATAAAAGACTCCTTCTCCACATATTCCCTATCAGATTTTCCTACAATATTAAGATCATATGAAGCAAAAAGCTACACTTGTACTTTCCAAGCTTATTACCTTAGAAAGTATAAGATTTTCTAATAGAAATTTAAACTTCTGAATATTAACAGGTATTGTGTCTCTCTGGAATGAGACAGCTTGGCTACTACTGCTATGGGCTTCTGAGTGAGGAAGGAAAAATTAGTTAAAAATTAAGCTGACTTCTGGAATGTCTCAGTTACAAGGTGAATAAATCTTAACAAAACAAAGTTTTCACACCATTAAAAGAATACGGCGTATTGGTCGATAAGACAACAAGCTGAAATGAGGCAGGCTTGCTCATAACTAATACTTTGAACTTACTCTCTGAGAATTACAGAAGCATTAACCTATTCAAGAAATGAAGAGCTATAAACAAGCATGATCAAGCTGAGTGCCTTTCATTTTGCCATTTACAGGTCTCACAACAAATGCAGCAACAGCCATTCGGTAGGGTAGATTGGCAGAATCCTTGGTGATTAAACCCTCTCCACTAACCTTCTCCTGATAAAGCAAGGCACTGTCAAGGGTTTTCTCCAGGATGGTGGCTACAGCAACTCGCACCTCCCTTACGCTGCATTCCAGGAGGAAAGTCCTGGAAGACAAAAGGCAAAGTTGCAACAAGGACTGGAATCTACACGTACACAGGCTTACTATCATTGTGATATTTATTTTAAAAGTATAACAGTCAGGATACCTCTTGTATCTTGGTGAATCAAAACAGCTTTGACTTGCTTTTCCTGCATTCTTGTTTGTCAATACAAAGGCCTACAATGCTACTTTAATGCAACTCATTAAAAGGACAAAAACGTCTCACGTAGTTATTTTAATGTGCCAAGTGAGTTACATGGACCCAAGACACGTTTAAAAACGTATGATCTTTGGACAAGCAACAGCTTAACAGTCCTACAGAATCCACTTCACAGTGATGGCGCTTCATAAATTGAAGTCTGAAGCAACACAGATTCTCCTTCCACTCTAAGGTCATCATATGCAATAACAGCCAGTTAAAGATGACACCTCTTAAAGGCCTTGATCAATGCATAATGGCACTTAAACTAGAAGCTATCACACGATCATCTCTTTCAATGCAACTTCAAAGAGAAAAAATAGACAAAATCCTCCATCTCTATTTATCAGTTCTCCAAGTAGTTTTCTCTTAGGTGTTTTCTTAGCACCTACTCCCCAATCTGAGCTTGAAGAAAATTAATATGTTCCAGTTTATCTGTGATCTTCACCAGAGAAGCATTTAATTCATATTATCCCAAAGTTCTCAAATATTTCCAAGTTTTCATTTCTCTACACCTGCAAGAGTCACTAGACAAACTTAGCATAGACCAAAGATTAACTTCTACATCCTTATTAACATATACTTCACTATTTTACAAGATTTTCAGATTTACTGAGAAAGCCACAAAATTAGAGAACATGTCAGAAGCGAAAAACTATTTTGATAGCTTATGTGCACAGTCAACACTATACATCAGTATAGGGCAGACCATGTTCTTATGAAGCATTATATGCAGGCAAGGTGGATAATCTCATGTAAGACAACAATACTGGTACTTACTTCACAAGCTCCCGGCCCTCTGGCCCAACCAAATACTCAACTAACCACTGACAAGCATCAATGCTTTTCGACAGCAATGCATCAATGGTGGCAATCCATTCTTCTGTATCAGCCCTATAACAAAACAGAGGCAATAGTTAATTTGTTTTTTTAAAAATAGAGAGGAGGAAAAAAAAAAAAAAAACCCCACACCCAAAACCTAAGCCGTGTTTCATAACCTGTCTCCTTTTTGGTAAGCCATAAGCGGGTTTTCGCACAACCACCCTCTTCCCCTCTCTGCGAACCACACCAGAGGTTTGCAGCACAGCACATCTGCCTCTTGTTCGAGAACTTCCTCCTGAAACCACACCTAAACCTGGCTTTTGTGGTGTGACGAAGCACAGAGTGCCTTCCTCTGTTTTGTTGGTTTGCCAAATTGATTTTTTTTTAAGCTTTAATTGAATAAACTTAAGTCGTTATACGACTTAAAACAAAAACTGACGAAGCACAGAGTGCCTTCCTCTGTGTTTTGCTGGTTTGCCGAATTGATTTTTTTTAAGCTTTAATTGAATAAGCTTAAGCCCTTATACGACTTAAAACAAAAATACCTATTGAATTATTTCGGGAAAATTGGATATTATCTTCTATCTTTCCAGGCAAAATAACAGCTCCTACCCTTGAATGAGACTTCTGCGAACATCTATACTAGCAGCAGTAGCCCAAAGCCCCACAGGTCCAAGAAGCCAGAGCACCTCAGAATGTCACTACAATATCCAGGACAAGCCCCTACCTGAGTTTCTTCTTGGTTCGGAGATAGGTTTGGAAGAGGAATTGGACTGCCAGCTGTAAGCTCACCTTTGCCATGCATGGGTAATGAGGATGTTTTACCTTAGTCTGAAACAAACATTAAATTTACTTCAGGGCAGAAAGACGCTCGCAGTATATACATTTTCCCTAAGACACGTCAACATGTTCTGTTCAAGTAATTTATTTAATTTGGGGGGGAAAAGAAATGATCCCAAGCAATTTTGTGCTAAAACCAGTTTTCACGGCTGATTGTATATATTCAAATAGGAGGAAACTTGCTCTAAAGTCCACTACACCTGTGAATTCAATAAATTTGATAAGTGTTGGTTTATTTATTATTGCATAAGTATATTTAAAAAAACTTCCATTGTCGGCTACAGTGTATTTCAAGACAAGTCTATCAACTTTGAGGTGACTAAGCAATTTTTTTTACTCCTTTATACAGGGAGGATTTTTTATCCTTCTGGAGTTTGATTCGTATCACTAAAACGCATTTTATTTCATATATTTTACTATGACACATGACTTTTTTTTCCCCATATTACTAAAACAGGAGACTGGAGTCAACTTTGAGATGAAAGTTATTCCTGTGAAGAATTACTGGAGGCAATGGATTCCTTGGTTAGAAAGTCAGTCCTGTCAGCACTTTTCATCTTGTGGCCCTCCCTATCTGATACATTCAAAGTACTCTAGGATTAAAATCCAGTTACTTACAGCATTCAGTGAAGCTAATGACAGAACAAAACTGAAGTAGTCACTACTGTATACATCTCTATTCTTCATAAACTTCAGGTTTTCATCTCTCACCATCTGCAGTTGCAAAGTAACAAAAGGCAAAAAAAATGTTGCAAAGCTGTTTTTCCCTCTAAATAAAATTACGTCCTACATGTAAATACATGAGGTGTTAAAAAACAGAAAGAAAATTATTCTGCTCATACTCTGAATCACTGTTTCAGTGGAGGGGAAAATACATATGAGACTTGCATAACACCAGTGATTTCCTTCCAAGAATATTACAAAACACAAGATAGCACGTGAGAAAAGTAATCTGACCATGAAGGAAAAGAAAAAGAAAGAAGCTGCTGATAAGGTCTATTTTTTACTCTTAATAAAATTCCAACAAAACATTGTTTAAACGTGAAAGCTTTGCTTAACAAATTAACATGTACAATGCAAGGAGCCAGGGTATAATTACAAGTTGCATCCATTATAATGTACTTGCATACCAAATCCCCTTCTCCAAGTGAGATTTGCTAAAAGGTACTCAGTAAATTTGAATAAAGTTTTGTTTATTCTAATAAGACCCCCCCAGGTATGACACGAGAAACGCAAAAGCGACTATAATGACCTGATACCGCCTAGGTGAAAGACCATACATAATTCATGCAGTTTAGCCTGATTGTGTATGTGGTATGGGCTCTTCTACATGTATGCAGAACAGCAGTGGTGTATGTTCAGAAGGCCAAATCGTGCAGAATTTTAACTTCTGCACAGATCTGACTGTCACTCTAACATGTAAGTCAATTCAAGTTGGGCACTTAGGCCTTCCTCTTATGACAGCAAACCCTATCTAGGTTCTACCACCTCTCACTACCCTGCCAGTGCTGTCAGATTCCCCTTTTCTGCTCTGACTTGCAAGCGGCCTTCAACATCTTCATTCTCCCTTTTGAGACTGTATGTAGTAGGCCATAAACTGACAGACATGAAGAGAACTGAAGCTCATTTTGGTTTCTCTTACTTCTCTTGCCCTTTCTACATCGTTCTGAGCTGAAGAACTGGAGGACGACTGAGGTGATTTGACATCTTCACCACTTCTCTTCAAGTGTAAATTCAACTTCAATACTTCAAATGAAGCATCTTCTCTGTTAACGCATCTCTCCCTGCTTGTACACTGACTGCTGCCATGTTTCAGTTTAACTAGTTTGCCTGTAGTTTCTGCAAAGCCAAAAGTGGGTCAATTTTGTGAGAAGGGACAAAATGTAGAATACTATATCACTAAACAGCTTTTTAACAGAATTTGGAAATACTTTCCAATTTTGTGCTGGTTTGACTTTCAACAAGGAAAATCCTCCAAGGCCATGTTCAATGTTACCATGCTCCTCGTACTGTGTACTTAGATTTCACAGGAGTAGCATTAAGTTTCAGTTTTTGGAGTGTTCTACCTGATATATCCGCACAGGCATTTTCTCTACAAAAAGTCCCTTCTTTTCTCCCTTTCGAACGAGCTTAGTCAAGATGGAGAGACGGTCACTGTTGGGCCTGTGGGGTCGTGGTGACGACTGGGGGGAAATCTCTGGTGAAGATGGAGCAGATCTAAAACAAACACAAGTTCAAGATCAATAATCAAGCCCTCTGAAAATCTTGAATTCCAAGTATTTAAAACAAACAAACAAACAAACAAACAAAAACAGTAGAGCCAGTGTCATCTAAGGGCAAATCTAGATGACAGTCTAAATACTTCTTGAGGCTGTCAGGCACCTTGAACTTCTTACTCCAATAGTGACACGTGTACTGAAGACAAACATAAAAAGGTGATAAAAGAGTATCTATTAAACATTTCAAAAAGATGGATCCGTATGCCCCTGCAGGGAACACACGCAATTATTTTCTGAATTCTGAATATTGTGTCTAGACGACGAAGACACAGAAACATTTACAGACACAGCAGGAAGAACTTACAGCGAGAGGTCCTCAGCTTCTTGACGCACAACGCTCACTCGACTTTTCTTTGGTAAGACTGGAGAGTTCTGATCAGACACTCTCTGGTAAAACAGCATATAGGCATTCCAGTACCGCCGACGCACGTCAGGGTAAGGGTTAGCTGGCAGGAGAGAAGGCATTCAAAGAAGGTCTTTGGAGGGTTTGTTTTATTTCTACAGTGGACTTCAACTCACTGGCAAGTAATACAGATTGTGGCAATATAAAATAATGTTTTAGATCAAAACAACAGTCCATGTTAGTGGATAATAAAAATAAATAGAGTTTTAAAATATTTTTCCAAAGGGCATATGTTTAACTAAAAATATAACCAACAGAATTTCGAAACAAGTGAATAGCAGTAGAAACATATTTGGAATTAATTCCTTAAAGCACAGAAAAGCTTCAGTAGAAGACCCACACCATGTTTCTTATGTTGTCTTTGTCAGTAACCTCAAGCAGGGAGAGGAAGCGAGAGCATGTAAATGAGCACATGTGATTATTTTTTTTTTAACCACTTTGAAAAGGATGAACAGGCCCTTTTCAAATAAGCTCTGCTATTAAGTCAAAAAAGTGCTGAACATCAGTGAATATGGTCAATTAATATTAGGCCATTTACAAGCAGTTACAACCTTCAGTAAAATAGATGGTTTTATGAAAAACTGCTTGTGAAGGATTATTAGACCAAGTCACTCAAACAGATTAGCGATAACAGACATAATTCTAACTGTGCTGAGAACTAGTATGATATATAAAGCTACTGTAAAACAATCCACATTTCTACTTACACTGATCATAGACTTTAGGTCTATACTCTCCACCAAAACATTCATATTCCAAGGTTTCATCAGATAACTCAAACTCTTCAACAACTGTGTCATTAAATTTATACCATTTTCCTTTTCCACATCCCCTATGGTCAAGAGAACAAAAACACATCAGAGAAAGTTAGATTTTCTACTTAAACAAAATACTCTGAACACCCCAGAAATCAGAACCCTCAGCTTGTGTTTGTTTCAACAGTGAGTAAGGCTTAGTTCAGTGACAAAAATGGAATTAAAAATATGAGAAAGCATGTAACACACCTAAATGTCACAAGAAGCCTTCAAACTGCAATACAATGCAAAGAATTCCTAAGACTTTGACAGTCAAGTTTTAAGGTGGCGAAAAGTGCTCCTGATAGAGTTCCAAATGGCTCACTATGCCTTTTAAAATTTAGACCGCTTCAAACCTTCTTGGCCATTACCTCCTGTCCTTTATAAAGGAGTAGTAGTGCCCTGCATGTGCCTGGCCACTGTGAACAATCACACCAACAAGCTCATAGTTTTCTGTAGGAGCCACTTTCTTCCTTGGGGAGCCTCCTCCTCCTTGATCCATGTTTCTACCGTTGTCCCCAACTTCGGAGGACGAGTCCTGGCGAGCCATTCCTGATACAGTGTAAGGCTCCATGTTCAGCATCCAGGGAAACTGTTTGAAGAGATATTTTAGGTTAAGTGGAGATTATATTTTATATAGGCTTTGTGAAATTTTATACAACTGTATTAATACTTCACACTCTGGGAACACTTAAAGAAAGCATAGTAAACTTTTTATCTGTATGATAGACATACTAAGTAAGATGTCATTAGGGAGGTTTTGGTTCTTGCTTTCCAGAAGGACCAGTCTGCTGGAGACGAGGAATAAGGAAAGTATTTGTTTTCTGCAGGGTCATCATGTTGCAAGTGTACCTCATTCTCAAAAGCCCTTACTGAAATGGGTGGTAAAGAAGGGAGAATAGACAGGAAAAGCAAAAGCGCACTGGAATTTACAAGCAGTGGTGAAAAAGTTTTCTTACCCTTATTTGCTCATCATATTTAATAGAACGTCCGCTTTCCCAGTCAAAGCCAAATCTCATCAGGTGAATCACCAATAGGCTAGGCAATACCTTAATGCATGTGCGCTTCACTGTAGTTCTCTTAAAAAGACAGAAAAATAACGCCTCTAACTATTTATTTCAATCATGTATTTTTGTATAGTTTCTTAATTCCAGCAATCTCAGACTGATGTGCAATATAGCTACTAGATGCAGGATGACTGCAGGATATCATTACAGATATTACAGAGTCTGGTAGTGAACCTTGCAGAACACTATCATCCTGCCACCCTTCTGAATGCTCACAGCCTACAGTGAGTCACAGAAAATGAAGCTGCCTAGAGCTATGGATTCAACCTTCTGATTACTAAAGTACAAAGATTCAGCTGAGCAGTATCTAAGTATGGCTTGATACAACTACACAGTGCTCCAGAAAGCATCAAGCTAAAACTTAATTTTCCTTCACACAAGTTAAGAGCAATACCTTTTCTTTGCATTTTTCACAATAGTATGCATTACTTCCTTCCAGAACTTCTCCTCTAACAAACTGATCCAGTGATATTTCCAGACTTTGACATGAAGTCACTCCTAGGTTGAGAGCCATGAAGGCTTCTTCACGCTCATACCTAAATTAAAGAAAGAAAACAATCAAGATATTAACAGAGCAGACTTACGTTAACTGGCATTAATAAGATATATGCTTAGGAAATAGTATTATACTTGTTCCAAAGCTATCAACAGCTATGATTCTCACAGTCAAAGGTGAGAATTATCACTCTCAGTCAAAGGTGTATTACTCTACATTCCCATGTTATTTTGACACATATATTTTACTAGTTTTGGCAGCACATAACTTGGTGACTAAATTTCATTTTACCTGTGGGGACAGTCCTTGCAGATCTTCTGATCAGAGAAGATGCCTTGAAAAGTATTCTTAAATATTTGATCTCTCCCTATTTTCTGTTGGAGACAGAAAGTTAGAAATTAGTTGGATATATTTGCAGCATGAAAGACCAAGAAGTCAACATGAATTTTAAATATCCGAATGAGTATGATTTAGATAATAAAATGAAGTCAGATGGCTTTCTGCCTTCTTTATCAAGGAACAGAGAGAAGAGGTACTGAAGTGAGATGCACAGATAAGCAAGGAGAGCTATCTAAGTATTTTACCTTGAGGTACTCATCCATCTGATCTATAAGACTAGTGAAGAATTCATAAGCATCCTGTTGCTCTCGGACATAAAGTTCCTTGTTCCACATCTTGAAAATCTATATAGGTATAAATAAAGGTGGTTGTTCAATATACATATCACTCCAGAAAATCTTATAAATAAAGGTGGTTGTTCAATATACATATCACTCCAGAAAAAAAAAAAAAAGAGGTAAAATTTACTTTATCACCATAAATCCTGCAATGAAAAAAAGATGGATAGATGATTACATTAAATTTACAAGTAGGAAAGCAATATATTCAAACGAAAAGTAGTAACACCTTCCAAAAGTTCTCAGGTACATAATACTGCAACTTGCTTTCCATCAAATGACCAAAGAGGGATTGAACTTGATAGAACACATTGTCATCTGGATTGTCCGTACCATCATCAATGGAAAGCAGGGCCTGGAAAGAAAAAAAAAAATTGGTTTTAGAAAAAAAAAAAAAAAAACTCCTTTTTTAATATATTTTCCCCTCCTCAACAAATTAACGTCAGAAATGGTAGTCAAAGGAATTTACAGTTCAGATGACTAACTCCCAAAGGAGAAAATTACTGGATATTGAACCAATTACCTCAGGGAGACCAGGTTGCATGTATAGCTGCTGGAAGACAGCATACATGTAACAAGTGGCACCACCATTCTTCACCCCCACGAATCCTGAAAGGGAGCGGCTATCCACTGGCGGAAGATACTAGAAAGAGCAATTAATTTTTTGTCCCAATAAGTTATAGGAAGCACAGTATTCCAGCAACATATTATAAATTCCATAATCATTTTTATGAGTTGTTTAAGAGCACTGGACACTGGACTATTCCAGTGCCCAATTTCACTGGAAAACGAGAATGTAAACTCTGAAATACTACACAAAAGCTAAATTTGTTCATTTATATAGCCAATGCTTAGCATAACATGGTTAAAAACAGTCTAAAATTACTTAAGTAAAACAGATGATATTTAGGCAATACTTCTTGTTAAGATAGCAACTGACAGACTCATGATAGTATCTGCTTCAGAGGAAGACCAAGTAGATCTGCATTTGCTCATGCCTAATCATTACCATTTTAAATCGGAAACCACAAAAACTTCATGGATGGAGCAGTTGAGTAGCTCATACAGTACTTTAAACCATGCTAATACCAATCAGAACAAAGGTTCTTGCTTACATCAAACTCCTTGGTTAGTGCAGGGTCAGACTGATGATGCATAGAAAGCAGCTCTTTTGTAATAAGCTGAAGGTTGGAAGGAGAGCTATCGGCCAGCATCACCAGCACTTCATAAGCAGCTAATCGGCTATCTGCTGTGCTGCACCTAAAAATAAAAGCACAGCTGAGATCTACTTTGTGACTCAATTATTTCTACTTCCAGAAAAATCATATTATTCAGAATAAGTGACAATTAGCTGTTCAAAAGAAATGGAATCAGAGAGCAGCAGCACAGGGAACATTCCCTTAACTAAGCCTCCCTTACTGACACAGAGACATATGGTTGACATTCAATAGTAATGAGAAGTAAGTGCTCCCCCTCCCCACCCCTTACAAGAGGGGGCAAATGACTGGTTTCCTCTATAAGGATAATAGAGAATATCCAAGTATTCTTAACACCAATGTGATCACACAATGACTCATTCATGGGGAGACAATTTTGAAAGAGCTGGACCAGATATTTTATTTATTGCAACAAGGGACTACTTTTTACTTAGTGTAGAACACTTACTTGGTTCTTTTCAAGGGACCATCAAGCACTCTCATAGCTTTCCCAACAAAGACAAGACACTGTTTGCTTTAAGCAAACAAATATGAAAGTGCTTGAGATGAACTGCAAAGATACACTGTAGCAAGCATGTCAATTAGCAGGGTTTTCAATCACTGTAGCAAGTTAATACACACGCCTATGCTATTTACATGAAGATTAGAACAAACAACAAAAAACCTACACAAGAGAACAACAAAAAACACACCTGAAGATATTAAGGAAAGCAGCTTGTCAGCACTGCATCAATATTAAACCAAATGACATGAGATTAACATGCAACAAAAGGGATATATTCTTATGCATCTCAGAACAAGAAGTCTAACTGACTACAGCCATCGTTTTCAGATAGTGACATAATGTTGCAAGGTTTTGCACTATAACAGGTCCTGATTAAGAAAGTAGCTTTGAAGTCAGCAATTGTCAGTTGTTCCCCTAGGACATTCTTTAGGGTTGGAAACATTATGCAGACATATCTGATCCAACTTCAAAACCAGAAAGTCAGAAAAACATAAGCAATCAGCTGTAGCTGTACAACACTCCACATGGACGTAATTCCATTCCTTCCTTCCCCGTTGCGTGCCAATAACAGAAGGCAGCTTTGACAGGAAAGAACAGACATACTTTTTTCCCCCCCATTTCATATATTCTGAGCTATTGATGGCTATCTCAGTTGAAAGGAGACTTGCTTAGCCCTGGTTTCTTACAAGAATCAGTTATTCGGGGGAGAAAAAAAGAAGCTAAATAATCTTTTGAGATTCTCATCAGAATCTCACAAAAGAGTGAAGATTTTACATGACTTAACTTATAAAATGCTATTTGGACACTTATGTAGTAAATGTGTAAATTGAATAAGTATGCTCTTGAGAAATGTTCCCTCATCAGTATTAATTCCTAATATCCACAGACCCAGTGTGACATGTACATACATGAGAACTAGGATAGAAAAGCAAGATGATCAAGAAGGCATTTCTTACTTTGGATGAAAGTCTTGCTGACTGATGGCAGCACTGCCTGCTGGAGAATGGCTATTCAGGATAATCCTGGATGCTCGGAAGAGAAAATCATCCAATAATGGTTTAATTAAAGATGAACCTGCAACACAGTAATCCAGAGTGTTAATCCAGAGTAATAATTTCGTTATTATTGCAACAGTAAAAAGGTGTTCCATAACAGCAAAACCACTTAATAGCATTCTACCAACAAAGTAAATCCAAACGACCATCAAAAAACAAAGATACAAAACAATGGTACTGTCAACATTTTTCCTTTCAGCTCTATACCACTTCTACAGATACATAATAATGGCTTCACGGGTAGTGTCTACTGTTCAAAACACTAAACGATCTTTTAGTGCTAAGAAGAATTCAAATTGGTTTAGTTACTTCAGTGCACAAAAGAATACTTACCAACCATTTCCTTCTCTGCTCCACAAAGTGAAAGGAGAGTTTTGATGAGTCTCAAGTGTCCTGCTAATAAGATATTATCAGCTTCACTGGTCTCACACTCGGCAGTGCGGTTGGGTTCAAAATTGTCTAGCCAGGTGATCTCATCTTCTAACATGGCAGCTGGGCTTATCTTTAGCTGCTCCATTTCTGAAGCTGCAAGGGAAAAACAACAAACAAAATGAAGAGTTCTAAATTTTTAAATATCAAGGATTTCAAAGAGTTTGATAATTCATGCTTATTATGATCATACTACAGCTGATTAAAAAAAAAAAAGGTACTACGCTGGCAGTTTATAAGGGAGATCATGGGGCTGAAGCTTCCAGTAAGTTCACTAATATACCTTAAGTGCTTTAAAGAGAAATATTTAGCATAGAGAAACTGATAGACAGACAGATAAGTAAGCACAGACAGCATCTAGTCATGCACGAGATAATTCAACTCCTGCACCACACTCATCAGTGATTTCAAATGTGTACAGATAACTTTAAGCACAAACTCCTATATAAGTAATGAAAAATACTCCAGTGAGACCCACAGATAAAGAAGGTCTCCAAAATCAAAGCAGACCACTTCTAAGCAGAATATATCTAGTTCCTTTACATTATTAAACAGGAAACAACCAAGGAGGTATTTTAGAGGGAAGGGAAAGCACCTCAGAGACATACCTTGAAGCCAGACAGTGAATCCCGAGTAAGGTCTAGCCAGTGTGAAATCGTAGTGTGCTTATAGGCATAATCTTTTTATGAAGACTGTGAGAGAATCACTGTGTAAGCAGAGCACAGCTAGGCAGGTACTGCAGACCTCCTCACGAGGGAGGTGACATACACTGCTACCTAAGTTCAGGCTGTGCCAGAACGTAAGTGAAATTTTACATCTCTGAATTTCCATCTGAAGGTACCTAACACATGGATCTAGCTTCCCCTTCAATGTGTACAAGATGTACCTTCAGCATTTCACCTTCCAAGAGGAGTAAGGTACCTTGCAGTTACTGAACAGTCCAAATGAATTAACAGGACAGCCAGCGCACTGGCAAGTCACACTGAGACCGTGGTGTAGTGTCTTCCCCATGAAGTCAATTCCACATCTTGTCTACAGAAGGAACAAGTTTGGAAGTTGCAGTCAGAATATGACACGTGTGCCTGTTCAGTAATCATACTTACATGTGAGGTCATCCAGTAACTGACATCTCAGGTCAAAATATTCTGTACACTGGGACAAAAATCTGAAACAGATATAAATAGAAGAAGGGTTTTAAAATTAAAATTAGAAAGTTTCTTCTAAACTGCTCGGCTCTATTTCCCACCATACGCTCCTTAAACCATCTCAGGCATGTCAGGAATACCTACATTTGACAAAAAGCAAGGACAAATTCATAACCATTTGTCGTTAAGAGCTGCCACGGCACTGCTCATTTTAAAATATATTTTATTTCCTTTCTCAATAAACATGCAGCTGACTTGCCTCTGGTTGATTCCTCTCATGATGCTGGTTGGTGACCAAAGAGGCAGCTGGGCGCTCAGGATAACACTCAGGAGAAACTGGTTTGGTTTCTGCACATCCGGGTGAGCTGATGTATCTGTCTGACTAAGGGTGTACAGCTGATCACAGGCAACGCGACGAATCTGAAAGAGTATCATTAGAAAGCACCAGACCTTACTTGAAGGTTGCCTAAATAGATTTCTAATCAAAACAGATTTCTAATCAAAACAGAAGTGTAACGGGGGGGGGGGGGGGGGGGAAA